AAATATTATGCTTGTCTGAGAAAAAAAAGGTTAGAGAGTATTTTTTGCAGTCTTAGTACGGTAGCGATATCGAAGCGGAGAGCCTAAATAGCACACATAAGGTGGAGACACAGACACTTTTTCTCTGCGTCTCAACCTTTTTTTTCTCAGACAAGCATAATAGCTGAAAAACCAAAAAAGGTCTAAAAAAATTGCAAAAAAACTGGAGAAAAAATACGATTTTTTTTTCGAAAAATCGCTCATTTTTCGGAGTTTTCAGTTTTGGCGGGAATTCAAAAATAGCTTCTAAAACCTTTCAGAAGTTTCCACAAAGCTGAAATTTTTAGCTTTATTTCGAGTTTCTGGGAACTATCGTAAACACTCTAATAGAGCTGCACCAGGCCGGTTAACTTTGAGCCCATACATCTCGGCTCCTGTAAAAGATATCAAAAAGTGATAAACTGATAAAATGTTTGCCATAATATCAAAAACATTTTATCCGTAGATCACTGTTTGATATCTCCTATAGGAACCGAGATATATTGGCTAAAAATTAGGAGGCCATTCTGTTACAATACCGTAATCTCCTGATTTCTAGAAGCTCCTCTAAACTCACCCATAACCAATTCAGTCCAAAATTCGTTGCATATCTCAATTGTGAGATATCGGGAAGATTCTGATGAGTGATCGCGTGTCGAATATCCACAATTTTTTTCGGGATTCCAAACTTGCTCACTGCGTCTACCATCGTCTTCAGAGCCGCACCCGTCTGCCCCAACTCGTTGACATAGTTCACGAATCTGGAAGAAATGATTCAATTTCAGAATTTCGGAATCTCAACATTTGAAATATTCAGAATCTCAGAATTTCAGAATCTGAGTTTTTCAGAATTTTTGGATTTACCGAACTTCTGAATTCCAGAATGCCAGAATCCGAGGATGTCAGATCCCCCGAAAATTCAGAATCCCTGAATCTCAACAATTTAGAATCTTAGAATCTCAGAAACTCAGATTTTCAGAACCTCAGAATCTCAGAATTTCGAAAATTCGGAATTACAGAATTTCAGAATCTGGAAATCTTAGAAGTTCAGAACCACCGAGTCTCAAAATTTCAGAATCGCTGAATATCGGAATTTTAGAATCCCAGAATGTCAGAACCCGAGGATTTCAGATCCTCCGGATATTCAGAATCAGTTAGTTTCAAAATCCCAGAACTTCAGAACCCACGAATTTCAGAATCTCTAAATCTCAGAATCCCAGAATTTCAGAATCTCAAAATCTTAGAATTTCAGAGATTCAAAATTTCAGAATCTCATAATTTCAGACTCCCAGAGATTCAGCTTCCCAGAATTTCAGAACATCAGAATTTCAAAATTTAAGAAACTGAAATTTCGCCAAAATGGAAAATTTGGGACATTTTTCTCCTTTTCGGGGTTCCATACAGTAACCCTTTTGATATTCGAATGTTCTTCCCTACAGTAATCCTTTTCAATTTTCGAATATTCTTTTCCAAAAACCATGATAAATTGGCTCAAAGTATGACCTTCTATTACAGGTTTTCTCCCAGGGTGACCTAGAATCCCATCTTCTCAAATTCGAGGCCACCATCTCCTTCGTACACCTTCCCTTGATTCTCGACTTCACTTTGCAGTCCAAATTTTTCAAATATCTACATAAATCTTCTCGAAACACACATATTTATATTCAAATTCAATCGAAATTCTTAGTGGTCCGTCGGTCCGTCCATTTTAAAATACGAAGAAGAAGAAGAAGAAGACGTCAAACGTCGTCTTCTTCTCCGTTTTCGCGAGGTATGTTCTCACGCTTTTCGAGAGGGGAGAGGTCTCTTCAAGAGGACAAGACACTAATTGACTGGGACCCCCAAGGAGAATCTCCCCCGTCGGCTCGGGGCCTCATATTTTGGATGTGTGCAAATTTTATTTTTCCACTGTCGGTCTTCTCAAAAACAACAAAAAACAATTATCTCCTTTTTCAGTGAGAAAAGGAGAAGAGTTGTTTGGAAAATAGTGGAAATTTGAAATTCCAGAGGAGAGATAATAATGATGAGTTCCTCTGCTATACGTTCTCTTTGCTGGCCTAGAAACCCCCACACAGGATTTTTAGGCCATGTTTCTCTTCCACAAATTTTTGACCTTATGTGTTTTTTTTTGATCAAAAAAATTTTTTAGTTTTTTTTGATATTTTTTGATCAAACAGACAAACAATCCAAAAAGCACAAAAAATACAGAAAACTGTATTGAGAGCTCAAAATTCGGTTCAAAATGACAAAATTTTTGCTACCGGGGCTTCCGGGCCCGGGCTTTGGCGAACCGGCCCGGAATATTACAAGTATGTTTCTAAGTCATTTTCTTCCTCAACTAATTTTTGGGGATTTGTCTGAATGTCCTGATGTCCTGGCCTAGAACCTCTTCGAGTATTTCTAGGCCACTTTCTTCTTCCACAAAGATTTGAGCCTTTATCTGTGTGTCCAAATATCCTGGCCTAAAAACCTCCACACAGTATTTCTAGGTCATTTTCCTCTTCCACAAGATTTGGGCTATTTTCTGGCTGCCCAGATGTCCTGGCCTAGGAACCTCTACAGGAATTTTCTAGACCATTTTCCTCTTCTACAAATTTTTGGGCATTTTTCTGTGTGTCCAGAATTCCTGGCCTAGAAATCTCCACAAGAATTTCTTCTTCCACCAGTCTTTGAGAGGCTTTGTCTGTGTGTCCAGATGTCGTGGGCTAGAAACCTTAACAAGGATTTTCTAGGCCATTTTCTTCTTCCAAGTGTCTCTGTCTCTGTGTCTGTGTGTCCAGTTGTCCTGGCCTAGAAACCTCCAGTACCTTCTGGTCCATTCCAAAATTCATCCGCTATTGTTCTTCACATAAGCGTGTCTATTTTCCAATTCTTCCTCTCCGTCACGTCTTCGGGGTCCTTGAAACTAGGGGAAAACGAAAACTTGAATAGCCACCCGAAATCTTTTTTGTGCTTGCTCCGAACAAGAAAAAAAGAGCTCATTCTCATCATAATAATAGTAATGATGTCCTCTTTTTCTGCTCTTCTCACGGCTCATTGAGCACATGGAGAGAGAGATATATATGATGGGGTAGAGAGATAGATTGATATCAGTGAAATCTCACTGGGTCCTTTTGAATTTCAAAATTTGCTATTTACTGAATTTTTGGAGTTTTGGGTCACTCTTAAGAGTTTCATTTTTTTTGATTTTCAGGATTCTAAAGTTTCTAATGATCCTGGATTTTAGAAATCTCAAAAATCCATATTTTTAGAATTATAGATTTCTGACGTTTCAAAATGAATCTTTAATTTTATGCATTTTTTCATAAAAATTCGAATTTTCGAAAAATTTCAAAAAATTCCAAAAGTTCAAAAATTCATAACTTTTATAGAATCAAATTTTTTCAAACTTTCGAATTTCCATAAAATTTCCAAAATTAGAATTTTCGCAAAGTTTCAGAATATCGAAATTTCTAGTATTCAAATTTTCATGAAGTTCGAAAAGTTCAACGAATTTTGACGAATTTTCGAAAGTTCAAATATTCACTAAAATCTAAAAATTCAATTTTTAATAAAATTTATAAAATTTTCAAGAAATTCGAAATTTCCAAAAAATCTCAATAGTTCAAAATTCAAAATTTTTTGAACTAAAAATTCCAAAAATGTCGAAATTTCAGAAATTTCAGAAAATTATAAAATTTTAAATCGTCATAGAATTCCAGAAATTCGGGTTGATTTTGAATTAGAAAAAATTATGAAATTCTAAAGTTTCCATGTTTTTTGTCTCTTGAACTTTCGTAATTCTTGTATTTGAAAGTTTTTTTGAACTCCAATTTCTCCAAATTTCTAGAAGTTTCTGGAATTTCTAAACCCTATCCGCCCTTTTCTAGTGACCATGTTCCTCGATCCTTGTGCTCCAAAATCCCTCCTTTTCTCCCCAAAAAAAACTTTTACGATCATTTTATCGTCAATCCCTCCTTCTGGGTTCCCCCTCTTCCATTATCCCCGATTAGGTCCATTTTTTGTCCCTTTTCGCTTCGTTTTCATTTTTTCCTATTCGGATCGAAACGGAAAGTGCCACTCTGTTAGAATCCCATTCAAATCTCATCAACTTTGAGCTCAATTATCTCGCTTCCCAAGAAAGATATCAAAATTTTGTCAACTAATAAAATATTGCTGATAATATGATAAATATTTTATCCGTTGACACATTTTTGATATCTCTTATAGGATCCGAGATAAATGAACTCGAAAAGGGTACAGCTCGGTCGGCATCACACCACTTGAACATTTTGAGCTCAATTATCTCAATTTCCGTATCAGATATCAAAATTCTATCAACTGATAAAATATTCCTCATAATATCACCAATATTTTATCAGTTGACACATTTTCGATATCTCTTATAGGAACCAAGATAATTGAGCTCAAAGTTGACGGCTTCGATGGGAGGAAATTCATCGATTTTTCAACTTGGAAGTTCTTTGATGATGTCAATCTTTTCCCGTGAAAATTCCAAAATTCCATATGCAGATTCAATCAAATCGTCTTCTTCTTTCGACTTCTTTTGCTTCTTCACCCAACCATCAGCACAACTACTTATTATCGTGTCAAGTGTGTGCGAAAAGAGGGCGGTTTTGTTCTGCGCAATTCGCAAAAGGCTCTATATAGGTGTTGAGAAGGTTCGTTTGCACTTTTTGCTTGCAGAATTCTATAGAAACTTCTATAGGTGCCATGGGATGATCTCCAGAAGACGTGGTCCCATCCAATACGTGCGATTCTTCGTCTTCTTTTTGTGTCTTGAAGGTGAGTTATGCCAATTTAGGAATCCATTCATAGATTTTTCAAAAACAAAAAAAAATCATATTTGATTGTTTCTTGGGATCTATGGATTCTGACGTTCTAGAACGTTCAGAATCTTCTGAACATTAGGAAATCTGGAATTCATAAAAAGGGATTCGAACTTGTAGGATTCAAAATCTCAAGAGACTGTTTGGATCTCTAGAATCTTCCGGGTCATCTGGGCCTCTAGGATCTTCTAGATCGCTAGTAGCTTCTGAATATCTCGGATGTTCTGAATGTTCTGGATCTTCTAGGTTGCTAGGATCTTGTGGATCTTTAAGATCTCCTGAATCTCTGAAACCTTTCGGATTTCTAGGATCTTCTGAAACACTAGGATTCTAATCTCTAGAATATTCTAGATCTTTTGAATTTTCCGAGTCTTCTGGACCTCTAGGATTTTGAAGCCTTTAGGATCTTCAAGATTTCTAGAATCTCTAGGATCTTCTGGGCATCTAGAATTTTCTGAATCTCCAGGAGAGGACTTTTTGGACCTCTAGAACCTTTTGAAAACATCAGTATATCTAGGATCTCTAGTATTCTCAATCTATAGGATTCTGGATCTCTGAATCTCTGGGATTTTCTGGATCTCTGGGATCTCTAGAACCTTCTGGATCTCTATGATTTTACGGATTTCTAGAATTTCTAGAATCTTCCGAGTCTTCTGAAACTCTAGAACTTTCTGGATCTTCCAGATTTCTAGAATCTTCTAGATGTGAAAGATCTTATGGCTCTCTACGATTTCTAGGATCTCCTAGGTGCTGATTTCTAGGATCTCCTAGGTGCTGATTTCTAGGATCTAGAATCTCCTAACAATGCCGATAATTACAGTAACCATCGCCATCACGTGCTACGACTGTCATTCCGATCAAGGAACGTGCAATGACGGGGAGTGCGAAGGTGTTGTGTGCATCAAAATGGAGACGGCGAATAAGGCGGATGGTAGTAGATCAAATTTGAAAATCAATGAATCGATAGAATCCTTTTCAGACCGTCGAACAATCCACAAGACGTGCGGCGACGAGGCGGAAGAGATGTCGTGTCAGCAGTCGGCGTTCGGCAGTAAATGGATGAGTCGGTGCGTGTGTGATACACCGTTTTGTAATGGAGATCAGGTAGGGTTGTGTAAATGCGCTCCATTGCGAATATACTGTAGTGTGGTGATACTTCGGTAATTCAGCGTTGGTCTCGGCGCGTGGTAACGGCCCAACTTTTCCAAGTTGTGTTTTCTAGGCCGCCATGGTAAAATAGCCTAGAAATGGCCTAGCATGCACCTGGTGTTTTCTAGGTTATGTTGGAGTGGCAGCCTAACTTTCGCAAACCGAGTTTTCTAGGCTACCATTCCCGAATGATCTAGAAAACATACCAGAATCGTTTTAGGTTCATTCTAGGCCGAAAAAAAAAGTGGTGGCCTAGAAACCCCAACGTGCAAAGGATTTTTCGAGAAATTATTGTGCGATGGAGCGCACTTTCTTTAGATGCCTGGAATCTCGGAAACCTGAAAAACCAATATTTTCAGGCTCTAATCGATTCTGGCCTGGAACCGTCCTCCGCTGCCCCACCAGCCGCCCACTACACCCAATTCGCCCTACTCGTCGCCATATGTGTATTCGTTGGAGCCAGTTGCTCTCTGATTCTCATCGCCACTATTTGTGTTCAGTTTTGTTAGAACCCTTTTTGATCTACTCTTGTTCGCCGTGGAGCGCAAATGCTTACCTAACAATTGCGTAGCCGTGTTTCGAGCGAAGATTCTCAATTGCCATGTACTTTTCCGAGTCCGGCATTTCCTGAATAAACTTTTTGAAAAAATCAATTATCGATTTTCTGACCTCGGCCAAAAGATCAGCATAGACCGCTTGAAGGAGCACATGACTACAGGAAATGGCAACCGGAGTGTGCTCATTACATCTGGAATTATTTTAGGCTGAAAATTTTCGAAAATTCTAGAATTACCTCGACATCCACGTCGACATAATGACGACACACTCTTTGACATCGGAGACACGACGGCTTCGGAATAGTTGACGAACATATTTCCATTCATATCTGCGAAAAGAAGATACCGTAAAATCTGTATTGATATTGCATGCAAGTCTATTGTTCAAGTCACCTCAAGGGGTGCAACTCTATTAGAGGGGCAATTCAAATAGAGGCTGCAATTCTATTTTTCAAACTACGAAAATTTTGAAAAAAAAAGTTTTATTATGAAAATCAACAAAAAAGTAACAAATTGAACACAACAAAAGGAAAATATTCAAAAAATTGAGGCGTCACTGTCATAGTTATTGTCTTCTTCCTCGGCATGGTTCATTTCTCCATCGTCTTCCTCAATTTCAATATCTCCCAAAATCTCCTGAATTTCTTCCATTTCTCGTTCTGATCGTCTTGTCTTCAATAACTGTACGCCTTCTGGAATTTCTCCATCTTTCTTGAAACAATGAATTGCCTCATCATCTTCGCCATTTCTTCCATTTTTTAATCCGCATCCTTTGAATGATCTTACAATGTATTCCTTCGGGATATTTTCCCACGCCAATTGAATCCATTTCAAATAAACTTCCATACTGGGAGCACGCATATTTCCCGCCGGGGTGAACGATTTCGTTCCATGAACCATCCAATCTTCGTACTCTTTTCTGATGAAAGATTTAAACATTGCGTTCCAATATACATCTGGAGCCTGAAAAATCGGGTCACGCAAAGTTTCAATAAAATCTACTCACTTGTAAGAATTTTGTGCATCCTCCAGGAATCACCGCAGTGTCTAGTCTCAGTTGTTTCAATACTTTTTTAGTGTCTGTACTGATGTGGCAACGGTAAGAGTCCCATACTAACAACCTTTTTCCGAACATTGAGTGACCGAGAACTTTTTCAAGAAAAGTTTTTGTGATTTCATCGTTGAAAAATGTTCTGTCACACCAAACCAACTGCAAAGTTTTTCTAAATGTTTCCTCAATACTTTGCACTTGTCTTTTTCTTGGAAGAAGTACAAAAGGTTTGCACTTAAAACCGTCTGATCGAGCGCACAGCATTACTGTAACATGCAATTTCTCGTGTCCCGTGGTTTTCACTGAAACCTGAAATTGAAACGTTTAGCTTGTTATTTTTGAGTGTGCTGACTTGTTTAGATCCTCGATCCGCTACAGTCAAACTATTCGAACAATCCAGATAAACCGCCGTCTCATCACATGCGAAAATTTTGTCATAATTATTCATGGTAATTAATCGTTCCACATAAAGGAGAAAGTCAATAATTTTCTCCACATAAAACTCTGGCGGTTTTTGACAGACTGTTGTAGCACGTCTACTCGAAAATCCA